ACAAAACAGGAAACCGGAAAAAAGTTACACGGGCGTGAAGTACGAGAAAAGAAGCTATTAGAACAGAACATACGGTTATATCCAGCAATTTCAACATTAAAATAATGGAACCTACCTAATTATCTAGCACTACACTTAAATTCGAAGTACTAAAAATGAAAGTTCATCAGAACAATTATCATGAAATTATTTATAATAAAAGGTGCAGGGAAGTTTCGTTGTGGCAGGTAAATAACTGAAACAGAGATACCAGGTTAGGGCCGATAACATAGCAGATTCTTTAGATTTGTCATATGAGAAGTACCAAATTTATCAACGGTATTCAATGCACGAACGTATAGTGACGGAAACATGATCCTCTCTCTTTCTTTTTCTCTCTCTTTCTCTCTCTCTCTCTATGTGTGTGTATGTGTGTGTGTTATTAGGAAAAAGAGAGTAAATGCTAAAGAAAGTGTAAAGTAAAATAAAAAGACGAAAAGGACAAATAATCACGACATTGTACACGTACGCACACACGCGTAAGACGGGCACATGGCTCTACGTACACACGCACATATACACTATAAAAATTGCACCAATGATAAGGGCATATAAAATAGAAAAATCGCTAAGTTTAAGCAGTCAATTGCTGATACCTACTGACGAGTAGACGGACGGGTCTCTCTACGAAACTCTGGAGTCGGGATGCTGAAGGTAACATCAATCAGCTAAGTGACAAAACATTTACTTGTATTAATCATATATATATATATATATATATATATATATATATATATATATATGAAGAAATATAGTTTAAAGGTCTACTATATTTATGAGATAAAGTGTTCAATATCAGAGATAGAGCGTATGGAAATATAAAAGTGAACATTTAAGAGGCGGCCTGACGATTGCGTCTAACATATATATATATATATATATATATATATATATATATATATATATATATATATATATATTAATATGGGAACAAATAAAGTATAATTCCATCGTCCGTAACATAATTTAAAAGAAGGCTCAATACAGAGTAGAGCTAAATATAATTTATTATAGGAGTTTAAAACAAAACATGCTAAAAATCGCCGCACAGTAGCAATCTTGTTTCAACACTACAAATGTGTCTCCTCGGTCGATGGTAAACTACTAACGACTGAACTATTAATTTAATTTCAAAAGCAGAATACTTCCTCTCTTTTTGGAAAAAAAAACAGAATTAAAAAGAGGCTTGTGGGTTTTACCGCGATTAACCATTCAAATGTAACCAGCGCTAATTTCAAACTAACCTAAAATTTTTTCATATAGGTCATAACATGAAGTTGTCTGCATATAAATCCTGGACATTTCTTTCTGGACAGATGCAAATGGTTACATTATTTCGTAAAATATATAGAAGTGTGACGTCCAACTTTCAAAAGAAGTTAAAGGGAAAGAGGTAGAGAGGTAATGTTAACTATTTATATGCTTGGTCAGCTTTCTATATAAAATTTTGTAGTTGATAAGTAAAAGGACTCTTAAGAAACTGGTAAAAGATTTAATTGTTTAAAAAGGGAAATCAGATCATAAATACAAAACAACTTTGGCAAATTAATATGCAACCATTAAGTAAAGAGCATCCATATAAGATGTGAATAATACTAAGCAATCAATGTAAGATTATAATACTAACTAAACAACTGTGCATCTATATAAGATGTGAATAATACTAACTAGACATCAATACAGTTATATTAAATCTAAATGAATCTTACAAATAGAATATTAAGTACCGCAGTTCATCTAATTATTACAATTATTACAATAAGAAAAAGTATTATCAAATTCAAAGTTGCACAATGTCTACAATTTACAGTTAATTTACTTCTTTTGTTTAATAAGGATTTTTAATCAGAATATCTGATAATTTATAGTTTCTCATGTAAGCATAAAAGACATGGTCCATTTAAAGATCTACAACGTCTAGCTTTTTTTTTTTTAATTTTCCATTTAACCGTACGAGTTTTATTAATTTCTTTTAAATTCCAAAAATATTTAGAAAGAGATGTACTATTTTATTCGTAGTACTACCAATATATATATATATATATATATATATATATATATATATATATATATATATATATATATAGAGAGAGAGAGAGAGAGATAGATAGATAGATAGATAGATAGATAGATAGATAGATTTTATTTAAAAAGGATGGTAAGACAAGTAGTCTTTTTAATTATAGTAATAAATAAAATGAAATGTTATTGTTTCGATTCTGATTTTCTTCGTGAAATTCCATCTGTACTCGTGAAGATTTGATTTCGAATACAATCAAAGCTCTTAAAGAGTGATGTAATTCCGCGAAGCTCAGTGAAATGATAAAATAAGTGCACTTTTAATTTTATCTTATGTTTAGCTCTCAATATGTTTGTAGAGAGAGATAACATACGTAGATATGCACACAGCCGTACACATATCCAGATTTGTATATTTATATAGTTTTAAGGTATGTTATATTTATGGATTAAAGTGCTCAGTATCAGTTTATGTAAATAAAGTGGACATTGAAGTCAACACCCAACGACGACAGTCTGTTTCACGCTTATACGTAATCGTTTTTTGTCTTGAATATTTATATAAACAGGTGATGCATTGTGGGTAGTCTGTGGTATTATTCTAACGGTTATTTTGGTGGGAATTAACGGTTATATTTCTACTTATTTTAGGGGCTATTGTGTGAAAATAATTGTGGATCCGGATGCACATTTTTAGCTATTTATAGTGTTGTTTGCTAATTTTTTAAGTTATTATTGATTATTTTATTTTTATTATTTTTTACTTGTGTTTATGTCTGCATTCGTGGTTTGTTTTGTTTATTATTTAATTATTGTTTGTTTTGAATTAATTTATTTTACTTAATTTTGTTTATTTATCTCATTTATTGAAAAAATTAAGAAACAAAATTTAATTGAACAACAAACTACATCCGGATTCACAGTTATTTCTACCCAGTAGCACCGAGAATAATTTGAAACATAACCGTTACCGCCCACCAAAATAACCGTTAGAACAATACAATAAACTACCCACAATACATCGCTGACCTGTATATATAAATAGTCCAGTAGAAGGATATGGCCTGACAATTGCGTATAAGCATAAAACAGATTGTCACCGCTGGGAATTGATTTCGATGTCCACTAGATTGTATCCTTGATTTCTTTGAAAATGATATGGTTAGGAAGCAGTCATTCTTTTCTCCAAATTAATAAACCTTAATCCTAATGTCTATCCAGAGATTTAAAGGCTCAAATGGTTTAAAGGCTCAAAAGATTTTAAGGCTCAAATGATTTAAAGGCTCAAAAGATTTAAAGGCTCAAAAGATGTAGATGCTCATAAACTTTTATTAAACATAAACGTTGAGACGCTGAAAACTATATCAATATTTGAAATTGCAATGGCTTCGAAAACAACTAGGATTTTTCTTTCTTGGTTCAACCTAGAGGTTCAATGAATTATTTGCTAATTGAACTTTGCTCCATGCACTCACTGGAAAATAAAGTGTATTTCAAGAAATTATTTTTACCTATAAAAAAAAACGAGGATATGCGGTTTCCGTGAGGAGAGAGACTTTTTCTCACTCGTATCTTATAATCAATTATTACTGGAGATTGGAAAGCCACTGTATTTCTTCTTTGATATACCATGAAAGACAAGATGTCCCAGCCTAACAGTCAATTCCTTAATAACACTTTGAGGTGTTCGCCAGCTTATGGGGAAGCCCGGTAATCGGGTGACATTGAGAAAAAGTCATTATTCTGTGTATTATACGTAGTAAAAATAACAGGTGGCATTATGATCGGGACACAGAATTTTAGACAATGAAGAAGGCAAAAGAAAAAATAAAACAAAAACAGGTGAGGTTTTAGCCTTTCTAGCTCATGGAAGAATGACAATGATTCGTTTCATAATCTTAGGAAACACTAGGAAGGCAGACGAACTCATCAGATAAAATATAGTGAAGCAGGAAGCCCGAAGAAAACATCGGACTGAACGAAGAGATAAAAGTGAAAAGACGAATAGATTGGTCACGGTTACCTGTGGAATAAGGATAATAAATTCAGAATTGCAGACAATATTTATAAAACTTTTCTCTCGTTTTATTTTTTGCTTTTGCTGAAGATAAAATCTTTTCTAATGATCCATTTATAATCCGATGCAGAATTGGTCACCAGTGTCGAACTCACTCAAAGCTGTTTGCTTATTTCAATAAAAGAATTTTATGAAGAACGGTTTAAAAAAAGGAGATGTCTGATAGTAAAAAAAGAAAGTAAAGATAAGAATCATATTGGAGACGATGAAAACAAATTTCTGTGATGAAATCGATCTCCTTGTTTTTTTTGAGGATAGGTATTGGTTTGTGCTTGGCTGTTATCTCAAAATGTTATCTACAAAATGAATATATATATATATATATATATATATATATATATATATATATATATATATATATATATAAGGATGGATATAAACAGATGAAAATAGCTAGCTTATTCTAGACATAAACAAAATTGATATTGACAGACATTTATTTAAAAGAGATTTATAGTAAGATAGACAAATACAGATGAACAGATTGAGATAAATACATAGATATGAAGAGACTGGAATCGATAGATGTATACAGCAATAAATATATAGAGAGATTGATAGATATGAAGAGATTGAGATAGTTAAATATGAATAAAATGAGATAGATAGATAGATAGATAGATAGATAGATAGATAGATAGATAGATAGATATGAACAAAAATATATATATATAAGGAGAAAGAGTGACATAGGTTGTTATATACCGATAGATTGATATGAACAGTTTGAGATAGATAGATAGATCGATCGATTGATAGATAGATAGATAGATATGATATATATATATATATATATATATATATATATATATATATATATATATATATAGCGAGAGATAGATATATTTGCAGTGACAGATAGAACAGAATGAGATAGATAGATAGATAGATAGATAGATAGATAGATAGGAACATATATATAGAACTAAATAGATAGATATGGACATATATAGAGAGAGAGCTAGATAGATAGATTTGAATAGATAGATAGATAGATAGATAGATAGATAGATAGATAGATATGGAAAAAGAAACTAGCAAAGCATCAGACATAAATACCAATAGTGGGTTAAAGACGCATATTAGTAGCGCGCCTTTTCTGTGTCTGTGTGAGCGTCCCCACGAGTGAATGGGAGTCGAGGGATGAAGAGGCGTTTCCTCCTTTGGCTGAGTGAGTTAAAACACACAAAAATTCTTTTGGATACGAACATGGATGGATCGTGCCTGCAAACTGATCCTGAATGCCTAAAGTGTAAGCACCATTTTTTCCCTTCTCCTTATTCTCTATTCAGTTTGCCTACAAAAAGCCAAAACTGAAAACACGCATGCTTTCTTCCATATCTTGCCTCTCTTGTTACGTTTACTCAGTGTAGTCGTGTGTCTCTTTACATCAACAAGATTCTTCGGCTTCCTTATTGTCTTTTGCTCTGAGAGAATTTCCAGAGATTTTATGATACAAACTATAGTATATGAGATCCAGATGTATTCACACTTCTGACGCCTTTTCTTTGCTTTTCTTTCTTTCTTTATTTCTTTCTTTCTTTCTTTCTTTCTTTTCTTTTCTTTTCTTTCTTTCTCAAACTATAAAATATTTGTATCACTCTTTCTCATGAGGGGTAGATTTTTACCTACCCAGAGTTAAATTTATTGATCAGAGCAAAGCACTGAAGCTGAGGTTTATATATCTATGTGAAAATTTGATAGATGCATGAAGAGGGTTACTTAATCTATTCACCTAACAAGATATCGATTTCTATTATTCCGTTCATATATATCCGTCTCTATATCTAGACCTTTCTTTAGACTTGTCTATGTACTTGTGTTCATATCTATCTATCTATCTATCTATCTATCTATCTATCTATCTCTTTATTTCTGTCTGGTAATATAAAGTTTAGTCTATTTTTCTATCCTAAGTTTTTTTCTTATTACTTTCCTATTTCAATCTGTTTATATGCATGCATGATAAAATATAGTTTTAATGTATGATATATATATATATATATATATATATATATATATATATGGGTAAAAGTGCTCAATATCATGGATAGATTGTGGGTAAATATGAGTGGCCATTGATCTTCAGATGACCTGAAGACTGCGTTCAAACATGAATGTGAGACCCGGTGCTTACAGAGAGAGAGAGAGAGAGGGAGAGAGAGAGATGGATAGATAGATATGTGTGTGAATGTGTGTTAGTGTCTGTGTGTGTTCCTAAATGCACACACGCAATTGTTTTTGATACGTGTTTATATAAATATGAGCTTTTTTAATCTTTTTGAAATTTTGTTCATGATCCCTTGTAAATACCTTATTTATTATTTTTTGAAATATTTACACACTTATATACAGAAAGGTGTGTATTGTATTTACTTGTAGGTGCTCGCGTGCGTGTGTGTGTGTGTGTGTGTGTGTGCGCGTGCGCCAATTGAAAGCGTGATAAGGAGTTATATAGAAGAATTGTACGCATGTACTGCAGGCACACATTAGCCCCTACAGACCACGCAAACACACATACATACATACACACGCACACACATAAATATACATACATACATACATATATATATATATATGTTTTGAACAATAAAAAATATTAACACGTTAAAATTTTCAGACATACTGGGTTGTATATTAATTTCGTTTAATTATTTCAATTATGTTCATCGGCTAGTTTCGGCCAGCATGGCCATCATCAGGAGAAAAAAAAATTGGGAGAAAAAACTTTCTGCCGTGAACTAAAGGAGTGAACTTTGTAGTTTTCATTTGTCGGTCTTTTGTTGGTCAAATGGCTTCATTCAAGTAGTTTTTAAGATGGAGGCTGGGGAGACTCATGAGTCTCAAAATTCCCTTCTTGGTTATTTTCACAGTTTTATTGGTTGCTGGGAGGGGGATGTCAGTGTTAGGTGTATGCTATCTTTTAATTGCATGATGTGTGTAAGTCTATCTATCTATCTATCTATCTATCTATATATATATATATATATATATATATATATATATATATATATATATATCACACGTACACACAGCCAGATACCCGCCTCTCTCTGTCTCGCAGATACACATATTCATTCACTTAAATGTTTGCATTAATATCGAATGGAAACTTGTATGTGTCAGTCGCATCTTTTGCATATAAAAAGCATCTAACATTTTTTTTTATCTACAATATGTTTACCCGTTCTCCTTTCTTTATTCTCTTGTATTTAGAAATGTTCTAGGCATGTTCAAAAGTTTCGTGCCTTTTTCTAATGAAAGAAAGAAGAAAATTGCATTCGTTGTGTGGTTTAAAAGAAAACTACTCTAGGAACTTTTTCCAAAAGCCCTATATATATATATATATATATATATATATATATATATATATATATATATATAGGGTTTTAAATTAGGATATATAAGTCCTGACAAAGTTTTAAATTTGATAAATGGAAACCTTTCATGAAAATAGATTTTATTGTGTATTTGTGTGTCTAAATAATGAATCTTTGTACTTTATCCAGTATTTGTAATATATATATATAAATCTCTCTCTCTCTCTCTCTCTCTCTCTCTCTCTATATATATATATATATATATATATATATATATATATATATATATTTGGTGTATGTTTCTGCATTTATGTATATTTATTTATTTTCTGTTTAATCGAAGTGGATGTAATCGATAGTAATATAGAAAGTCAATTGAGGATCTTGTAACGGCTGAAATTGATTGTTTTTTGTTTCCTTTTTTTTCGCGACTATGGTCATAGGAAAACACAAATTCCGATCTCATGATATTTTGATAAAAATGTTTTATCACTCGCATGCTACGAAAATAAACGGACATTTGGGTTTGTAAATTTTCACTTAAGGCAGACAACATTAGCCTGACTAACACGTAACTATATCCGAAGCGTCAAGTTGGCCTCTCTTCGGTTCGATTGCTGTCAAGGAGTCTATATTTCTTTAGTAGAAATTCCCTGATCCCATAATATATATATATATATATATATATATATATATATATATATATATATATATATATAAATTAAAACAAAACCCTAAAATTGTGCCTCGTCAGGCGATGAAAAATAACTTGAGAGTAAAAGAATAATTTTTAAATTTCAATAAATCAAAATAAAAATGAGACTTGTAAAATTTAATGCCACAGACAGTGGAATTTGTTCCTAAAGATATATATATATATATATATATATATATATATATATTCTGTTTCCGCCACATTCAGTAATATACATACATGCACACATAAGCATGCGCGCGCACACACACACACACATATATATATATATATGTATTTATATAATACATAGATAGAGGTAAACATTGTAGACATAGAAATCAGTGATGCAGTTGTAGTTTAAGATATGAAACGATCATCATTCTTTTTATGTTTGATAATTTTTGATGATCGCTTAAAGCGTGAAACCGTTTGTCGCTATGTGGTGTTGAAATCTATGTCCACCCTGCCTATATCTACAAGAGCTCTATCTCCCACTTTGAGCACTTCTTCCACATATATACCAAATCCTCATACATATGTGTGTGTGTGTGTGTGTGTTTGTGTGTGTGTGTGTGAGGGGGTGCTTGTGTGTGAGCGCGCGCGTGTGCGTATGTTTGTAACTTACGTTTGATCGGCTATTCTTGCTTTCATTTTCGGTCCGTTGTATTAATTTCCCGTTTGTAACTCCAAAAAATACATGAATAACATTTTCGACAGGATTTTTACAAGCTAAACTCATCCCTTTAGTTCTCATGACATCGGTTAATGCTTATGAATTATAACAAGAAAATAACTCCGAAAAACATAACACAAGTCCATCAATATTTGATTTTGTAAATATGATATTTATCGGCGTCTTATGACATGAAGCCATAGCGAAATCTTACGAGTCGATTTTGCGGAATCCATTGCATATTTGTTTAATGGAGAAAATTTTCCGTCACTTGTTATATAATAAATTATGAATTTCTTAATCTCTGATTTAAGTTCTGTTAGAACCATGTTGGATTTTCTTTTAATGGCATCTAGACCATTTGGAAATTACTGCCACTGTTGAATAATTCCACTGGATATCAAGCGAATGCTTACTAAGCCGATATTCCAATTATTTGTAGCAAGACTTTAATTCCTGGTTTTGGTTAAAATGGTACACTAATTTTGCATACTGTAACCCATAGTGATAACATCATACAGGAATGTTTGTATTATTTGTGATAGTAATCATAAATACAACACGTGAGGAATTATTATAAAAATACAAAACGAGGTTGAAGTGAAGTAGAAGTAACGCAATCATTGTAGCCGATACAGTTTTCTTGCTGATGAATTTGACAATTTTCAAATATTAATGAATATTTTATTGTTCATTGTAATTTCGTCATCTGTACATTACATTCGTTATTATGGGGTCAAATATTAACATTCAAACAATAAAAACATTATAACGAGAACAGCTCTTCTCGAATCTACAAGTTAATGATTATTTCTAATATTGGTCTATATTTCATTTAATGATCATGTTACAACTTATGTCTCTATGATTCTGATGTACGTAAAAGACATGAAGTTTTCTAACAAGAAAATCAGAAACGTTATTGCCTATTCGAAAGCAATCGATGACATCTATTATTTTGACTAAATGGACTACAATCAAATGTTCATGATGGAAAAGGAATAGGAGAAAATGAATCATTTTGCATTGTAATATCTATCTATCTATCTATCTATCTATCTATCTATATATATATATATATATATATATATATATATATATATATATATATATATATATATGCATGTTTCATTAAAAACGACAGACATGGTAATACGGTTAAGCTTTTTATTTAATTTTTTGTGAACAAGAGCTTTCTTTTCTGGACAAAGGGTGTGTAAGAACTGTCCAAATTTCCGAGCGCTTTCGGCTATACCTTTAGCCATTATCAAGGATGATTCGATTTTTCAGCTTACATGAGTATGTGCGTTCTGTGTATGTCTTAGTGTGTGGTAGGGATGTTTTTAATTTCCGAATACGGTTA